ATATTATTGAATTACAAGATTAGATATACTTTAGTTGATCTAAAATATTGATGTGTTCAAATGCTCTTCAAAACACAACTGAAAGTCCATGAAACTTGTCTTTCTGTATTTGTGAATGAAGCGCCATCTCCTGGTTAAAACCTGAAATTGAAAATCTGGCAACGCCCTCTTGGAAAATAGTGGGAGGGCTTAACATTCCTCAATACTGGTTTTAGGCAGGTCGTAGGCAGGAAGCTGTAAGCTGGAGTCTGAAATGAGGTGCTACATCTGTATACTAAAATAAATGTACGTTTTTTTCTTTTACTAAGGTAAGATTTAAATACCAATTATTTGAGAAAATTAAAACTTAAAAACAAGACGATGTTGACTACATTTGAAAAAAAATAAAGCACAGCTGAGGTAGAGGTAAAGTCTTTCCAAATGTGTCTATCAGGAGGATTTGTAGTTTTTCAACTTTCAGCAGTTTGTTTGGGACACCCCTTTTCTGTTGTCTTTTCTAAATGTAAGCATCTTCTAAAAAAATCACATCTAGAAGATTACAACAAATTAATACATTTACAAATAATTATTATGAAACTCACCAATTTGACCATCAACTCCAGGCTCTCCAGGTTGGCCCTTGAGTCCCATTTCACCCTTAGGTCCTAGAGGGCCAGCAACACCACTGTCACCTGAAAAGCAGTTTTCAGCTTTTAGGCCTTTACACTACAATTATATGAATATAATATAGTGGCCCAAAGTGGGGAGATATTTCAACAGTAACATGCACATAATAGTAACCATTCACCAACAGGGGGTGCTGCAGCACCTCCAGCACCTCTACTTCCCACGGCTATGAGTCCAGCTGAACAAAGTTACAATTAAAAAAACTGAGTGCACTGATCTCGAGGTGGGAAATGAGAGGTTTACATCCGGAAGTTGCTCAATTAATGTAATACTGTAGCAATCTGCTGATTAGGGGCCAAAGTTGCCCTATTACTAAAGTGAGAGGAGATCTAGCGAAAAACTGCAAGGTTCTACAATGAATGCGTTCGGGCGTGGCCAGCTCTCTAACACCACCTAGGTAGAATTTAGTTTGGAAAGGCCACACCACTCGCACATTAAGTTTCCTGAAATTTAACATATTCATATTCCCCTATTGCAAATTACTCATGCAATTGTGAACATTTTTAAAAGCTAAAAATGTCTTTCATTAGGAAGTTGGCCATTTTAAATGACGTGTATTTTTCCTGGGTTTTTAGCAAACTTTTACGGACTCCTCCTAGGGAGTAGATCGTACAATTTGAATTCTGGAAATTCACATATTATAATGCTGCATTCCCCTTTGGTTGGATTTTGTTTTGTTTTTTTAATTGAAATTTCGCCCTTTGGAAGCACCACCGGAATTTCAGTCAGCAAAATATTTTAGACTTGTAGGATCACTAACATAAATGGCTAAGTGCATGGCAGTCTGGGGTAGTTTGGGGATAAAGTAAAACTTTTTCAAGAGATTTTTTAGAACTGCAGCCATAGCCAGGATTTGAGTAATACTGTATATTCCTAACCCTGCGCCCCTTAGGTAACATTTTTCAATTATTTACAATTTAAGTTAATAAACTTATTTTGCAAATCCTTTTGCAAAAAATAAAATGAGGAATATACATTCCTCATTTTATTTGTTGTAATTTATTAACATACATTTTTGTTGACCTAATGGTCCTATAGAAAAATCAGACAGAGGTAGTTTGTCAACTTTATCCAGCCCCGATAAATATTTCATTCAGGTGATGTCAGTGCACTGGCTAAGCTGTGTGGGTTTGTGATGTAGTGGCAGCAGCCCATCCATCAGGCAGAGTTCATCAGCCGGAATAATCAGCAGGCTGACAGCTCATCATGGCCCTGATCATGGCGGCCTCACGCCTCATGCTGCACACACACATGCTGCTCTGCACAGCTGTTATACAATGAACGAAATGCGGCGCACTTCAGCTTCAGTGCGCCACAGTTTTGCCGCTGCGAGGCTCGGGCTCTACTAGAACCCCCCTCCACTCCGTCGAGGCTCGTGACACAGAGGGCCTCATCACATAACTTTGCGTGGGGCCACAAGTTGGCCAGCCCTGCACAAACCTGTTTCTCGTGCTAACTTTTACTTTATTGGTCTTAATGCTGACTCACCTTTGAGGCCTCTCTCTCCTGGCACACCTTGAGGTCCTTGAAGCCCCTCTCTACCTGGAGAACCAGGAGGTCCTGGGGACACACAAATGATGCAAAGCTTCATAAATTCTGACCTAAAGGTTATGTTCAGGTTATTACAGTTTTACAATTTGCAGTTCAGCAGTGTTAATCTTAATATATCTATAAGAAAGCAACAGCTACGAATGCTTTTTGAGATGTAAATGAATTTCCCTGGAATAGTATTTAAATATAAACACACACACACACACACACACACACACACACACACACACACACACACACACACACACACACATGTATGTCCTACCTGGTTGGAGGCTGATGCTGTTCACGTGGCGCTCCAGGGTGTGTGTGCTGCTGTTGAGCAGGATCAGCCCAGCCTGCAGTCTCTCCAGCGGACCCTGCTCTCCACACAGCCTGCTCACCTGTCCTCTCCAAGAAGGAGAACACTGTCAATCATCAGCCCAATGCCCCCTCTGCCAACCACTGCTTCAAAGTGTTCACTGAGTATTCAACATAACTCCACAAATACCAAACAAACCCATATAACAACTTAACAACTTTCTCATCAAGGTTTGATATAAAAAGTGCAAAATATTCAAGGCAAAGAGGGTTCAGACAATGTCTCCCCTTTAGAATCTCCATAAGAGATCTCCATGTCTTCTCAAAAGTCCCTCAATCTTAACTGATTAACAAAACGTGGCAAATCCTATACGTTAACTCAGACACACGTCTGCATTGTGTCGTTTTATGTTGAATTCATTGCTTAAACAGCTTCTTGAGAAATAACGGTGTAACCATCTGTGAGTCAGTGAGCCTGTTCTCTGAAGTCCGGCTGTAGAGCAATGATGGAGCCAAACCTGAAGACCTCACTGCACCAGCTTTTACTGCCGGAAAATAAATCCAGCCCATAACCTTCTCATAAACACAGTTTATTAATGATTAGGTTCAAGCTGATCCAACTGCATCCTGACTCCAACTCTGTAGTACACAAACAGACATGAGAGTGATATGATGAGTGATATCTACTCTCACTCTTCGAAAATTGCTATATTTTTCTAAATGTTGGAGGATTTTTTTCTAGACTAATTAACAGGATCTTTTGTCAAGAAACAACTAGATAATCAGTTAATACTGAACATCTAAACTGAACCTATACAAATGAAATGAACAACATGAAGATATAAGTGATGATAACTGATTCCAAATAAAGAGCGGAGGACCTGGCTCTTCAGGGCCCACAGAAGGCCCCTCAGGGTCTCCGTGTCTCGACTGTTGTTGTAGAGTCGAGTCTGGAAGGTTTCTCCAACCAGAGGGAGTCTCGACATCAGCCTTTCCAGCCGGGGCTCTGACACTGAAGATTCCACAGTGAAAACTGGGACAGAGAGGATAAGGAAACTGATCAGAAACTTAACTAACCTCACATTTACAGTATAAAATAATATGGGTTTGATTATACACTGCAGTCAGCATGTCGTTGTGTCCCTGGGCAAGACACTTCACCCCAAATTGCTCCTGTGGGGATTGTCCACAGTATTGAGTATGTAAGTCGCTTTGGATAAAAGCGTCTAACAAGTAACATGTAATGTAAATACAAATATTCTTGATTCTCTTGAATATTCCACATTTAAAACGTTTTCATATTTGTATATTTGAAAACAAATAATACTATGGGTTTGTACCTTTATAAATGAGAAAGGCATTAAGAGCGGTCTGTAAAATGAGGTAAACAATGACCACATTGAAACACCACTGTCTCCTGGGCCTTGCTTGCTTCACATCTGAAACACAAACAGGAAACTGTGAACAATCTGCAGCAAACTTAGATATTTTGAGTCATTTCAGGAGACCAACAGTAGCTTGGTTCAACTGATACGAATGCTTTTTCTCGAAGTTAGAAGCATGGTCAACCAGGGTAGACCGTCAGCTGTCAATCACAATAAAAACCAAGGGCGATCGAGATGGGTTTCTTTTTGTCATCAGTGAAGTCAAGAGCAAACTATTTATCAAACAATCAATCAATCAATCAATCAATCAATCAATCAATCAATGTTTATTTATATAGCCCAATATCACAAATGTTACATTTGTCTCAGTGGACTTCACAGTTTGTACAGAATATCAGTATGACAATACGACACCCTCTGTCCTTAGACCCTCACATCGTACAAGGAAAAACTTCCGGAGAAAACCCACAGTTTAAAGGGGAACATGGGAGAAACCTCAGGGAGAGCAACAGAGGAGGGATCCCTCTCCCAGGACGGACAGACGTGCAATAGATGCCGTGTGTAAATTGAAAAGATAATACATTTGCAACATAGGTAGTCCAAATGTTTGGAAATGCATGTGTGTATAATAATAAGATGAATCCACGAGGATATCCATCCAGGACTTATGATCCAGGACCACAGCCACGACTCAAGATCCAGGACTCGCAATCCATGACACAGGACCGCAGGATCATCCATGACTCCGGATCCCGGCGTATATAGACACCAAAAAGAAAGAAATTTGGGGAAGCTGGGTTAATCGGAACATGAGAGTACACAGGTATAGACAGAGAGAAGGAAGAAGTAAGATGTCCCCCGACAAACTAAGCCTATAGCAGCAAAACTAGGGGCTGAATCTAATCAGCCCTAACTATAAGCTTTATCAAAAAGGAAGGTCTTAAGCGCACTCTTAAAAACGGATAGGGTGTCTGCCGCCCGAACACAAACTGGATGCTGATTCCACAAAAGTGGAGCTTGATAAGAAAAGGCTCTGGCTCCCATTGTACTTTTAGAGACTCTAGGAACAACCAACAACCCTGCATTCTTGGAACGCAATGCCCTAGTAGGACAGTAGGGTA